TTGGACAGATATACGTCAATAATTCATCCGGCATTTCTTCCGTTGAGAGGAACGGTGGTTTTCAGGTAAGACGCCGAGCATCGCTGGTGTAGGCCTCACATTGCCCATCGCACCTCAGATTTAGCGCTCCGGCCGCTGAACAGGCGTGAGATAAATCGATTTTATGTGTTGGTACCACTTTGCGTGGCCTCCGTACTAAAACATGGTGATCATGTATGAAAGTGGAAGCTACGCGCCGGTAATGATTGTGCACAGATGGTGAAATGTCGTCGACGCTTCAGCGGTTGTATGGCGACGTCACAAAGCCAAGGTGATATTGTTTTCAGGTGCTTGTTGAGCCATGCTTAGGATAAGTGCAGAGCTGCAGGGAAGCAGTTTTGGAAAATACAGAGGGCTGAGGACGGGTGGGGGTGCAGGAAGAAGAATAGCTTGTTCTGCCTCCGAAATACACTGAACACAATTATCTTCCCAGATTTAACCTATTTTGCAGGGGAGGAGCAGGTGTGTAAGTCTTCGCAACTTTTTTTTTGGGGGGGGGGGGTTATCTCTATAGATTATGAGGAGTGAAATATGACAGATACAAACTACGCTTAAAACCAAGAAACTACACCCCTGTTTCGGAGGCACATTTTTACCACCCAAACTGAATAGAAAACTACATCCTCTAGGCTGTTTGTGGTAAGTATTTTTGTATTTTAGATACAAATCTTAACAGCGGTTAGGAGAAACTACATCCCTGTTTCGGATGCACATTCTTCGCACCCAAACTGAATAGAAGACTACATCCTCTGGGCTGTTTGTGGTAAGTATTCTTGTATTTTAGATAGAAATCTTGACAGCGGTTAGATGTGCAAAGGGTACCATGGACAGCGACCAGATGCCGCCTTCCACACATATTTCGCGGCCGGCAACCCCAGACAGTTATGTTATGTTAAAGAGCGTGTTCGGATATCCAATTATAGAAATACATAATAACAGCTACACCCAATCAAAAATGGTTTTGGCTGTGAAATTTTCTTCATGGGCATCATTAAACGCCTTAAGTTATTTTGATTCAGTTTCGTCGAGAACTCTTCCTAAATAGTGCTGACCATCGTTTGTCAAGCATGCCACCTACCCACCATGGGTCACGATGACGATGGTCACGATGACGGAGGTCACGATGACGATGGTCACGATGACGGAGGTCACGATGACGATGGCTTCGTGAACCTCCCGTCACGTCAGACCGTCAAATCCGTCGGCGCCCGCGGCGATCCACAGCCTCCCCCACCCGCGGCTGAACCAGCGGCCGGTGCAAGCAGCATCCTGTCGGATTTTCGACGTAAGGCGCAGGAGTTCGTTCTCCAGGATCTGGACGATCCCCCTGGGCAAGGCCCGACATGGGACAAGGCGCTGTCAGCATTCATCACTTACTGGCGCGCCGCCACGTCGTTCGCCGTCTGCCGCAGCCAACTCTACGCGCAGCATCAGCCAGGTCAGCGAAAAAACATGGCCACCATCCTTACCCTCAGCCGGAGAGGCGGAGGAGCACTCCACTTGGTGGACGGCGGCGTGTGCTCGCCGGTCATTCTCCGAAGGCCAGAAGAGTTGACCACTCGTACCTGCGGGATCTGAGACAGCGTCGTTCTGCAACGCCACGCAGCCTGCGGGACAAGGTCTAGCAAAACCGAGCGCTGGGTGGCCGAACATGTCAGTCAAATTGATGTTATGAAACGACAAAAGGACTTTTTAAATAGGCAAGCCACCATAGAAATGTTAGGCAGACTGTTTTTCCTCATTTCAATGCTTTGATGTCTCTTTGAATCAATGCCTTCTTGGAATGGAAATATCCAGGCCTTTTGGTATATAGATATCGACAAAGGCTAATGGTGCCTTACCATCTGGGGCATTTCTAATCGTTCCAAATACAGAGTTTGCTCGCATCCAGCTCTAAACGTGTTTGGGAAAGTGTGTAAGATATTTGGTGTTTGCATGGTACTGAAGACTAGAGGTGGCGTGCACAGGAACCGACAATGCTTGCTTTGGGGCGCCCAGCCACTCATTCATGCCGGTCGTGAATACCGGCCCGGCTTGGGCTGCTGCTGCGCGCAAGGCTGGAATGGAGTCCCGTTAACCATTGTGCAGTCTTTGTCTTGTTTGTGGCTGCGGATGCGGGGGGTGGCTTGATGCGATGATATGTGATGATGGTGTTTGATGATGTATTTGATCGTTTGATGGCAATGTACTTGGTGGCCTGATGACGATGTATTTGCCTGAGGACGGGAAGATGTACAGCACCGTGCTTGGCGCGGTCGCCTTTGTGGCCGCACAGCATGTGGATATTGTTTTATTGCTTTTGTGAAAAGTTCTTTGGACGGGATTATCTATGTCTGGCTTGGACAGAATGCGTTGTACCTATTTATGTGTGTTCTGTCGCTCTGAATACACTTCCATGTCATGCTAATGCTGATGATGTTGTTCATATCACCGTCCACGATTTGTATGTCTTCGAATGTTGAGTCGCCACTGCTGCACGCGGACCACTGGACCATCGCAATAACAAGTCGGTAACGTCGGGTGCAGTGCAGCATCCCATTTAATGGACAGGCCATTAAAAGAGCACAGCCGTCGTGGTTGCAAGAAATGCGGGGACGTGCCAGTGTGCTTAGCGCAAGGCCTGTCTGCATCCATGGGCCCTGTGTGACCGTGCAGTCGATGTGCCATTAGGCCCACATAACCAAGCAATCAACCAATCTGGATTTCGTGCGGTGGATATTCCCGTGAGATCAGCCGCAATCTCGGTTTTACATCCGTCTTCTTACAAGATACAACATGAAGTATACTAGAAATACAGGGCATTTATTTAATTTACATGGTTTAGATCTCTTTGCGTTGTGAAAGGATATGCCGGGGCGTGTTCAATGACTGATAATTTTTACAGGCATAAATTCCCATGAGAACTCCAGCTTCACCAAATATTTTAATTTGAGAAGTGCCTACGAGATTGATCAAGCTGGGGTATGGGTTATAAGCTGCGAAATGAATGTAAATGATTATTGATCCAAGTCTTAATGCCCATATTTTCTCCCATTTGAGTTTTCCGTCGGTATCTAAGAGCTGTGCGGCAAAAGCAACCAGAAATTGGGAACATGTCTGAAAATTTTGCTTCTCCAGGACCAAGGCCTCGACAAAATGCGATCTTAAGCCCCTGGAGCACGTAGTGATCTTATGACCATGAGACGGCTTTGAGTGGCACCCAAATTACTTATAGGAAATGCAGAGGAACAATAGAACGAGGCAAACGCCAAATAGGTGGGAAAATTTTACTGTCTTTCCATCACTTTCATCCCATGTGTTTCCAGCACGGTAGTTTAGTGGCCTGAAATTTCATGCTCTAAAGCGCTGTTTCCCACTGTTCTTCAAAGTCAGCTGAAGAGCCACCGAAAAATATAATGGTACATACAAAACGGTATTCTTCATCTATTCCTTGTAGTAAGTTGTCTAGTGCATTAGCGAGGAACATTATTAACGAAGATAAAACAGTAGTATTAGACTTATTTGACGAAAAAGCCAGGAGAATGAAGGTATAGCTGGGTTGATATTTTGGCAACATCCCTTCATCGAAACAATAGCAGATGTGAAGTCGAAATTGCCTGCCTGCAGGCAGGCAATTTCGGCAACAAGGACAAGGCAACAAGACAAAGTATTTGGGCTGGAGCATCATTAGCTGAACAATTTTGGTCAACACTATTTCTATCATCACTGACAGCGGCTGCTAAGAACCGCACGTACGAAAAAATATGTTCCAAAGGAACCTACTCAGCGAAGCACAATTTGCTACAATTTTGTTTTGTTATTTGTTCGAACAATTATCCTCAGATATGGCCATTTATTGGGGTATTTTATCATTTTTCAGAATATTCGTAATAATTCAGCACTGAAAGTTCCCACCATCGTCCCATTGACCGAAACAAGAAGGTTCACCCAAACATCACTTTAACACGATAACATAGCGCACACGCTCACATTGCCGGTGATCATAGTGATGACAAGTCGTGGTGACATGCCATTGGTGATGACACGATATATTGTAATGACAATCGCGCGATAAAAATGATCACACGTCGTTCAAGGTAATGCCGGTCACGCCCATCAACGACGCTCAGCTGACCTGCAAACCGCGTGGAGGCCCACAACAGGAGCCAGAAAGAGCCACTTGGAACTCCAGTCCATTGGCGGTACACACACCATAGCATGCAAACATATAGGCAATATGTGGAGAGCTGTGTATATAGCTGTAGGTTCAACTATACCGGCATTTGTGATTATGACATAGGCTTTTGTGACACACCACACAGGCACATTTGTGAAGCATCACATAGACTTGCGACATGCCATGCGTCATGACAGACAAGTGGATTGACGATCAGACATGACAAAATGACACACATTTTGAGATAATTCCAAAACATGTGGAACATTTACACTAGAAGACACCGCACAGAAAATGATAAGTACAGATTTTGTGTAGATATGCAGAAAATGGCGCCGATTTTCCATTTCCTTTCATCAGTACATGAACTATGAGGAAAGCAAAACGTGATTTGGTGGCCTAGATGCTAAAATTAAGAAAACTCAGCACAGATGCTGGAAGATTCTCAGCCTTAGAGATCTATAGTGACCACACAATATGGTATATCAATAAGATAATACCCCGCGAACACGAATGTTACGACGAACATTGAATCAAGTGTAACTTCGCATCTGTGCACGTATGGCACCGCGATTTTCGTCATTGCTTTGCTCCACAACTGGCCGCGCTTTGGCTCTTCTGGACCAGCCGAACGTTATCGCCAACAATACAAACCCTGCCCACCTGTTCCTCCAGAGGACCCGTTCTCCACCATTGGCCCGCACTGCGCTCAGCTCCAACAGCTGTAGTACACGTACCAACCATGCCTGGCCCTCAGCCGTCTGCAGACCCTCCCTTCAGCTCACCTGGCCCCGCCACTGCTGCATCAGAACGTACCAACACGCAACCGCCGCTTCGCCATCAGAGGCGCCACCTTATGACGATCTGCAGATGGTGAAACTTGCCTCGCCACCCAGAACACCACTAAGTCAGCGATCTCGACCAGGGAGAGCAGCGAGGCCCCCAGCATGATGCCCAGGTTGCCGCCCGCCTCCGCCACGAACTGGGGAAACGAGAAGCTCCAGGACTCAGTTTGCAGCAGGACGCCCGTCGAGATCCAGAGCAGAACCCGTGCCATGCGCCCATGTTTCTTGGGCGCAGCACCAAGTTCTGGGCGCCTATGTTTTGGGCGCCCACTTCGGTCGCCCAGAACCCGCCCTTCTTCTTCTTCATCTGGCGGGCGCCACACCAGGCGGTCGGGCGTCTCCACCGGGTAGAAGGTGGCCTCACAGGGAGAGGCGCACTCGCAGTGGAAGAACGCGTTGTACACCTCCTCCTCGTGCAGAGCGCGCAAGTTGCGCTCGAAGCTCAACGCCGCCTGCATGTCGGCGAAGGAGCGACAGGGGCCGCGGTCAGGTCGGCGCTGCTTCTGCCAGGGCAGGCTGCAGGGCGACACGCAGCCGCTCCCCTGACCTTCGTCACACACGCCGTGCAAGCTCGAGTTACCCTGCAGGCAGTCGGCCAAGCAGGAGGCAAACTTCTTCGCCGTCATGTGGCGCGAGCAGGCTCCGTCTCTGTTATTGGAGATGTAGCGGTTGGTGCGCTGCTGCAGGCGCACGCGCGACTCAGTGTTGACCGGCACGGTCACTTGGCTTACCTGCCCCGTGAATGGCGTGATGTCGCTAAAGGGCAGGTTGTGCGGGTGCAGCATCACGTACCAGCCGACGTTGTCACGTACTTCGCTCGGCTCGGAGAGGGCCAGGTCTAGCTTCAGCTGCGGTGTCGACCACGTGCCGTTGGTCGGCACGTGCAGGGTCAGCGTGTGACACCTGCCGTATTGGCTGGACACCACCGACCTCACCGTGCTCACGTCTTCGCACGGCAGGCGGTTAAAGGTGCAGTTGGAGACGAGCTCGCTCCACGCGTAGGTGGCGCGCTGGAAGAACTCGTCCAAGCTGATTTCCTGCCAACGCAGCAGCTCGAAGCGCAGCGCGGGCGGCAGCGCCCGCCACTGCGACAGCGTCGTGCCGCTCCGCGTCAAGCTCAGCACCGCCCCCTCCTTGAAGGGGTGACCGGCACACATCGTGACGGCTGGAAACGGCACGCGCAGTTGCATAGTCTCCCTCGAACTGACCACGACTGAACGACCCCGCAGCCGCTCTGTGGTGCCCACCAGCTGTACGATGAGCGCGGTCAGTGCCGCGACCAACACCAGCACCCAGACGAGGCGGCGCAGCCAGTGCGCGGCGGAGCTGGTCACCACGGACAGGCCGGGCAGGCCTAGCTGGGCTGGCGGGCCCTGCACCCAGAACCTTCCACACGACGCGTCGCCGCACGGCGTGGCGACGGTGGCGGGTTCCATAGGTTGCTGGAGGCGGTGGATCTGACAGACCACCGGAGGCATCTTGAGACGTCGATGCGCGGTGGAGGCTTCTGAACACGGCTCCTGAAGATGAACACTTCTAAATATGACGAAACCAGTGATGGTGGCGGCGCTGCTATACCACGGCTGGCGAGCTTGCAACAGGTGTTGCTCGCTTGCAGGGACTATCGGAGGGGGAGTGGGGCGTACGTCGATGACGTTCCCTGTTGGAAGCAGGACACAAGGGTGTCACTTTCCATAATCGACTGTGGCCTAAGCCAATAACGTTGTGTCATTGTTGTTAGAATTCGTGCATATTTAGGAGGTGCGCAAAAGCCTTGTAGTCTGGTACTTTAGCCGATTTTCCTCGGAGCGGGTCAGCATGACGTTAAACAAAGTGACATGGTTACGTTCCAAAATGGTTGTAAAACAAACTCCCGCGAGGGCAGTGGCTCAGTGATGTGTGTACATACAGGCGATGTGAACTGATTTGGTCCCTCTTCAACGCCATCTGACTTTACTATGGCGATTCTGACCTTCGTTTAACCTCGACTAAGGGAACAAAAAAGGATGAGCCATGTGACATCAGATCACATTTATTAAATAGGCCTTCATCTTACATTGTTACCCCATTAAAAAATTGTATAAACAGAGGTGGTAGTTCGTTACACATCAAAGTGCGCCCGGTGCACGGATGGGATCATTAAATGTGCTGCTTTGCTGTCGGTTGGTTTCTACTTCTTGCAGAAGTAATCACAGCTGATCCCTGTCACTAGCTACAAGGCCTGCAGAAATATCAGTCATTGACACACTTATGTCTGATGTATCGTTTTGTAAGGCTGCGCACCACTCAAAAGCACGGAAAAGTGGACAGCCATTGCGCTCCCATTCAGCGGCTGACTCGCTCAACCACCGGCTAGTATCGATAGAAATATGTTTTATCACATGCTAGAAGAACTCATCAATCAGATCCAGCAACTGCCCCTTCCAGTTCATCAATGTTGTGGCATCATTGGTCATTCGCAGCCAGCGTGGCGTCAAATCACTGCTGCTTTTGTTGTTCTGTGCTGCGCTGTTCGTGAACTGGGACACGGAATTGCCGCATGTGACAAATGCAGACTCATGACTGGCACTGCAGCATCTTCAGGTCAATGCTAGTCGATGGCTAAGCAATCTAGCCAAGTTATTGAAAATATCCGACCTGCAGTATACCAGAAGAACTGGTTAAGTGACTTGTTTAAACAAAAATATTGGTTATGTCGAGAATGCTTGGCGCTTGAAAGCTGTAGTGAGGTTTAAATTTCTTTTGAAAAATCCAATAACACATCCCCAATATTTCTTTCAGTCTAGAGCACGGCACCAAAATCCTGTTTATTTCATTCATCGGCCCTTTTTGTGGTACAAAATGATGACAAAAACACCGCTGCACTCTGTTCTAAAGCGTCTCATCCCAAAAGGTACATCAGCCCATCCAGATAGCTCTGTTGGTTAGAGCACTTTCCAACTCGCCGATATACGGCGGGGTGGATTCAAGTCGATTTATGCTTTCTCTGTTTGTTCCCGACTGAGATGGTCTTGGCGGCGGCCGCGCGTATGGTCAGGTGACGTCACAGAGCAGGTTTGCCGTGCCAAGTATTGCGGCACGTCGAGCTTTCGCCGCAGAATTCTGCAGTTGACCCGGAATTGACGACCAATGGTGGGTGTGTAGTGGCACACGCGGCCACCACCGCATAGCATGGGCGCTCATCCCAAAAATACACCTAATCAAAAGGCTCGGACAACATTTTTTTAAAAACTCAAGGTCACTCCGTCATAACGCATTGCAATTCGGCGCGCTCTGTGGCTAGAAGGCATTCATTAAATCACGAATACCAAGAGCGGTGTTTGTGTGTGCCCGCTAATCGCCAGCCGAGTGAACGTAAAAAAACAAACAGAGCTAAAACAAGGCGAAAACAGTGAGGCAAAAACAGGGCAGCCAATCAGTCCCACACGTGCAGTGGACCTAAACAACTAAATTAATATATTTCATAAACGTGGTTAGCCCGACGAAGTGGTAGTTCCACCTGGCTGATTGTAAACGTATTCAAAACATTATGCAGCACACGACGTCATGTGCGAGTGCGTAACTTCAAAACCATGCAAGAACTTCATCTAATTTATTGAGTCAGTTACGGCGCTTGTTGATTTTATGCAACTCCGTCTTTGGGAATCTCGTGACTACCGTTCTATGCCGACGAGCAATCTGTCGGGTGATCATAATAATTGCTGAGGGATGAGGAGCCAGCACTTCTAGAAACGCGGACAGCCGGCAGGAGGATTATTATCGGTGAGCCAAAGTTTTCGCCACTATTTGCAGTCGCTTCCAGTTAGTCGGTGTATGCCAGAGAATCGCCTCGATGATAATTACCAGCGAGTCAATACAGTGGGTCAATTGGCCCACCGTGGCCAACTGAGTTGGCCCGCAATGGTCGCCATTCGTACCAGGATGATAAGCAGGTGACGCCGTCATCTGTCTTAGCAGTTGTCGTGTCGCAAAGCCCCAGTGACAGAATAAATACGAGAGGCAAAAACAGAGCTAAATGCAGCCAATCAGTCCCACACGCGCAGCGGACCTAAACAAATATATTAATACATTTCATAAACGTGGTTAGCCCGACGAAGTGGTCGTTCCACCTGGCTGATTGTAAACGTATTCAAAACATTATGCAGCACACGACGTCATGTGCCAGTGCGTAACTTTAAAACCATGCAAGAACTTCATCTAAAATATTGAGTCAGTTACGGCGCTTGTTGATTTTATGCAACTTCGTCTTTGGGAATCTCGCGATTACCGTCCTGTGTCGGCGAACAATCTGTCGGGTGGTCATGATAATTGCTGACTATTACCTAGGCTTATGACTGTATGTTTCGCGGGGAAAACAGTGATTTGGTCAGAATTCCGTGTTCAGCGAGGTTGAAGTGCAATTCGAGATTTCCCAAGTCTGTTCGAAAGTTTTGAAGGATTTGTAATAGCTTCATGAATGGTGTTCAATTTCATTGCGTAGATATATGTCGTTGACTAAATCCGTAGGTCCAGCTTTCGTAAAACTTTGAAATTTATATTATAATTCATTGGTGGATGCAATCAATTGCTTTATAGCTCGTCGGGTACTATTCCTTCGATCGTGTTTTGATTCAGTGTGCTGGCACCTTGTTTCAGAATGTGCAACACCTCTTTTTGTGCGCTTTCCAGGGAGTTTACATGGCTTCATTATGTGATCGATATCTGCTATTGTTGCACTGCCAATCAGAGCCACAAAAATTTCTCCAACAAATGGTCAGATGGCGCGCCTTGACCTTGAAGTTTCACGTTGTTGGGCAGAGTAAATGTTTTGTTGATTTCAAAATGTTTGATATTGGTGTCTCCCTCGAGTTCAGTCATGTGACACTGAGCGTGGTGAGTTCGTAGCTTTTGTTTATGTTGATTAAAGAGGTTAATAAATCGTGAGTGAAATGCATTGAATTGTGCTCAAAGCTTTGGTGCAAAGCCCCAAAGGCTTATGTTCGCCAGGAGGTGTATGTGCCTTTCATCAAATTACGGGTACAGTTCACCATGAGTCAAGAATATGACGATGGAGTGGGCAGCAGAGAAGCGAAGAAAGGAAGGATCAGTGCATGAGCCTGTCTCGTCTGCAAAGTACAGTATACCATTGTTGCATCGAGCTCTGACACTGAGTACGAGCAGTGGCTGGTGCATCAGCTGACACTTTCATAAATCTGCTCTCAGGCAGTGTGGCATTGTGTATGTCTGTTACTGCACTGATGCAGTTGTTGACCATTTAATGATACTGGCAGATCTTTGCCCACTAACAAAATATGAGTAGTCAAAGCACACATGTATTGATTGCGGCAGACATAACACTTCATCTGCAGGCAAAAATGTGGTGCAAAGTTACTAAATCAGGGAAGCATTATACCCGTGGTCCCAGAACCAACTACCGTACTCACAGCATTGCTACTAGAAATAGATAAGTATGTCGAACACGGAGGTGATGCGGGTAGTGCACCTGGATCCTGTAGACATATAAGAAGAACGGAACAGGACCGAAACGAGTCCGAGGCATACACCATCTCCAAGGTAGGTGGATGGTACACAAACATGGACACAGTAACCGGGGAGCGGGGTGGGGCGATGGGAGCAGCTCACACCCTCCCCTAACATGAAAGTTGGAGCTGCAGGCATAAGTTCATTCTGACCTCCGGCCTGCCGAGGGCCCATTCTGGGCTATTTAGGGTCCCTTCTGATCAGAATCGAGCAATTCTGAGCATGAAGAGGATCCACTCTGGCCTCTAAAAGCACATTGTGATCTGTAGGCGGACCATTCTTGGCGGTGGCGGGCTCATTTTGGCTTGTAAAGAACACATTCTGGCCTGTAGAGAGACCATTATAAAACGCAGTCCCGTAATGATCTGTAGAAGGCCCATTTTTTACTGTGGAGAGTTCAAGTCCGTTATGACTTGTAGAGAGCCCATCCTGGCTTGTAGGGGCCCACTTTTTAATCTCAGGGATACATTTTGCCGTTTTGTGTACCCCCAACTTGAACGCAGTTTCCGCGCCCCTGCAACCAAACCTCCTTAGCCGCATTGCCGTCGGTTGCGCGCGTAACGTAGCAGTGCACCACGAGGCTGGGCTGGGGATGCGTCTGCGTCTGCGTCTGCGTCTGCGTCTGCGTCCCGGCCTGGGCCAGGTACTGTGGCTGGGTCTTTGCCTGGGCCTGGGCCTGGGCCTGGGCGTGGGCCCGTGTCTGGGCCTGGGCCTGGGCGTGGGCCTGTGTCTGGGCCTGGTCCTGGGCGTGGGCGTGGGCCTGTGTCTGGGCCTGGGGCTGAGCCCGTTACTGCGACTGGACTTTTGCCTCGGCCCGGTACTTTGGCCTGGTCTGGGTCCGGGCCCGGTACTGTGGTTGGGCCTGGGCCTAGGTACTGTGGCTCGGCCTGAACCTCGTAGTACGGTCGAGCCTGGGACTGGTATTGCGCCTGGGACTAAGCCTGGGCCTGGAACTGGG